CTCACTTTCTTGTTCCTCGAACTCCGCAAAGTTGGGACAAGGGGATCCATTATGGCCCAAATTCAACACCAAGCCTGTCTCCCAGAGACCGGCAGTACGGAAATAGCGGCCATTCCAGTATTGGACCCGATGGGTATGAAGCCTCCTATGAGTCTGGCGGCAACAGGCGCGACAATATACAGGCTGCAAGGCGCAATCGAGGCATCGGAACTTGGATGCCATTTTGCCGCAATCTACACAGACCATCCCAGGAGGTGGGGCCTCTGTGACAAGAGTTACCTCAAGATGCTTGTCCCTGCGGGCAACCCATTCTCTCAGATAATCGTTCTGGCTCTGGGATCACTGATAAGCAGAAGTTGGAAAGAACAGAGAGATCCACCCACCTTGCCTGACGTTCTCTGGTGAAAAGGGACAGCAAACTCATCAATGACCATTGTGTCTACATCGTGATCGAATTGGGCTTGCTGGCTATGCTGAGCTGGCGCTGACGGTGCATGCAACAGGGAATCAGGAGTAAAGTATTTGATCTTCTGGACGTATCCCCTGGTTGTCTTCTCGTATTTCCCTGTATAGAATACAGGTCCAGGAGGCCGTTTGGATTGGTATCTATGCATGGTGACTAGTGGATGTGTTTATGAGGCAAAGTAATGGTCAAAGTAAGGACGGTGAGGCAATTGCCATGCGCCGAACACGTGGCACAGGCACCATCAGCACATGGCTGCCTGCATAATGCACCCTTGATGCAGGGCGCATCAAAATGCAGGGCACCTGTCAAACAAATAATTGGGTGCAATTGCATAAAAGGTATGGCGCACATAAAAACACATGATCATTCATATGTTGCACAGACAAATGAAGTCCGGGGGTTACGAAAAGGTTAAAAGCTGACTGTTCGTCAATACCTACACCCACTTGTGTTACGACCTGACCTGTGCCCACTTGTGTTACGACCTGACGATATCTGCGCCGTGTTGTTGGCATCGGCGCCCAGCTGTGTGCCTGCGCCCACTTGTGTTACGACCTGACGTGAATGGTGAAACAAAATTATGGCACCTGTCAGATTGGATCAAAGAAAACTTGCATCAAACAGTTTTTGGAGGTTCTTATCCGCAGAGGCGCAGCACCGTTGGTTCGGCATCAAAGGCCATCCATAGAAGATTGGGTTGTGGAAAGCAAGAGGGCATGTTCTAAATCCCCCATCTGCTCAGCAACTCAACCCAATGCAGCATAGCATGCCATTAGTGAGGAGGGACTAGCCAGATGATGAAATTATCACACCTGTCTCAAGCCCATGTTGCTTGTTTGCAATATAAGG